ATACAGAGCAGCAGCTCCTACTGCATTCATTCAGCTGACAACTGAACATTAGCTCACCTTTACCTGAGAAAAAACACTCTGCTTTCAGTTCATCTAGCTCATCCTTCTAGTTTTTCAGCCTCCATCAGGAACCATCATCATCATCAGCATCATGAAGACACTCCTGCTCCTCTCTGTCCTCCTGTTTGCTGCCTCTGCAGGTGAGCTTCCAGCAACAAACAGACAACATGAATGTCTCATTATTTATCAAGCAGCCTGGCTCTGATGTTGGACTGAAGACTGACTGATGGTCTGTTCTTACTCTCTTTGTTTCTGCAGCTCCAGTTGAAGAAGAACAGAAGCCTTCAGGTAAATTTTCTTCATGTTTGCTTGAAAACAGACACTGAAACTAGAAGAGCTGCATGTGTTTGATACTAAGATTTCTGTTTCCTCCACAGAAACAGCAGAGGTGGTTCAACATGAAGAAACAGCTCCTGTAGAAGGTCAGGGTCATATTTTCTGTTAGCTGTTAGAGACGAAGTTAGTTCAACAGTTTGAACTGTTTATCCAGGATTAGTTGGGACTGAAACTGCACAGAATAAAAGCAGAACTTTACCTGCAACACATCATTTATATTCACATATATACGTGTGTTAGGCTATCAGCAAAGGTAAAAATGTGAAAGTGAAGTGAAAAAAAGTGGTGAAAATCCTTCATTGAAGTTGTTTATGTTGCTTCTTCAGATCCGGCAGCTCRTTTTAACTTCTGTCCGACTGGCTGGTTTGCTCATGGATCTCACTGCTATATGTTCGTCAGCATTTCCAAGACCTGGTACCAAGCTGAGGTAATTCTGCCCCTGAAGCTGAAGTCTTTGGAAAATAAATAAAGGAACTACAAACTCTGTTTTGCACAGACAATAAATGACACCGTTCCTGCCTTTTTAGCCCACAAGACATTTTAATTTCAGCTGAGAGTCAGAACCAATGTGTGATCATGGTATAAAGATAATTCAGTTGTTTGAAGCCACATGACTTTAAACTGTCTGTGTCCAACAGGAGCATTGCAACAGTCTGGGTGGTCATCTGGCTTCAGCCACCAGCCCGAGCCAGTACAGTTTCCTCCAGCAGATAACTCCAGTTGGCCAGAGCACTGCATGGCTGGGAGGGTTCAACCTGCAGGTGGGTTCAGGATAATGTCCCTTCATTCAAACCTGATCAAAGTCCAGGCTCTGGTCTTAAAGCAGTCACTACATATACAATATGTTAATGAGGTGTGTTTTTGGTCTTCAGGGACAGTGGATGTGGATCGACCGTGAGGGTTTTTACTACACCAACTGGTACAGYGAGACGTCTGTCAGCAGCAGCGCCTGCCTGTACCTCAACACTGGCTGTAAGTCCTMCCAATGTTTATTATCACACACTTTAYTCTGTTCTTCATCCTTTATCATGTCTTCATGCACTGATCARACACAACATTWTGAGCAAAGCTGAAGCCACAATSAGGGCTCAKTGGTTCTTCTGACCACAAACCAGAAACCCAAAGAAGACMTGGGAGGTWSTTTGTGTTTCCCTGATGGCTCAGAACTTATTTGGGGAACAAACATTATCCCAGTGGTCATAATGCTGTGGCTGCTCAGTGAAAATCAACAGTCACATCAAACATAGAGAAAAGACAGCACTTCTAATCTTGAAATCCCATTGAATGTGTTTGTTCTTCTTCTCTCAGATGGTTGGCGTAACGGTGCCTGCAGTTATTCTTGTAACGTCATCTGCTCCAAGAAGGCATTTGGCTGTTAAAACTGATGCTTCAGGTCTGCAGATTGTGAAGAACCGGTTAAAATGTCACTTTATTTAAATACATCAAATATTATTTTGTCTTTGTTTTAAAATCACTAATAATTGTACAAGTTTTATACAAATGAAAAATCTCTCAATAAAAGAGAGAGAATGTGCCTTGTTATTAATAAAAACACTTTAGTCCATGGTGTAATTTTAAGAGTTTGCTTAAAATGTACAACAAGTTGCTGAAGAACTTCCAGTAACTCAAAATCCATTAAAAAAATCTGTTGTTGTGGAATACTGATTATGTATCACCTTGACACTGTCCACTTTTCATATCTTATGATATCCCTGAACGTCATCTTCAAGC